CTCTCTCTCTCTCTCTCTCTCTCTCTCTCTCTCTCTCTCTCTCTCTCTGTGTGTGTGTGTGTGTGTGTTTGGTCGCGCGAGTTCAAAGTAACCTTTTACTTTTCCGCACACACCTAGTGTGTAAGGTAAAGTATTGGAATCGGTCGAAAAATTAACACCCATCAAAAATGTGTTTTTGGGGCCAGAGAACACGAATCTAGCGTTTTTTCGATGTCCGAATGTATGTGCGTACCCTGTACGCTGTACGCAAAAATTTGTTAACACGATAACTTTCAAACAAGAAAAGTAATTCAAAATCTGACTTCACAGGATGATTGGGGATGCCGAGGAATAGAAACCATTAGATTTTGAGCGAATTTGGTTGATAGAGTAAAGTGTCATGTCTGATGTGATGCCCATGGCCATCCATGGGAAAAATTCAAATTTTCTTCCACAAGTGATATTTAATGTATTCTTAAACACTCAAAAATATGTATTGGGGGTTTTTTGGGTACGAGAAAACCGAATATGACGTTAGTTTTGCGATACAAATATATTTCGACAAAATCTTCATACAAAAATTTCAAAAAATTTAGATTTTTCTATGGAAGCCATGCCTGTATGATATCTTAATGAGCTGAAACTTTACACAGGTTATTTTTTTCACACAAAAATAACATACTGAAGGTTTGAAGAGATTTCAATGCATAATAGAGATACCTCCCGAACAAAATTTTGGATTTTTTTCTCAAAAACGAAAATTTTGTATGGAAGGTACCACTTAATTTTATTGAAATTTCTTCAAACTTTCAGAATGTAAGTTTTTTGTGAAAAAAATAACATCTGCAAACTTTCGCATGATTAGGATATCATACAGGCATTGAAAAGTCTATCAAAAATTATTTGTATCGCAAAACTTATATCAGATTCAGTTTTCTCATGAATTCATATTTACGGCAAAAGATACTTAATAAATGCATGTTGTGGATCACAGTGCGGAAAAGTTCATCTTACGTATGTAAGACATTTTATTTTCAATGGAATTGAATATGTATGCATTCAGAAATTGGCGTCTTTGCATCATTCGCGTTTGTTTCGCATGGTTTTTTTCGCTTTTGTTTTTGATAAGGCAACGCCAGAAGTTAGCAGCCGGCAATTCGATTTAAATACGTCAATTTTGAGCACGGCACAAATGGATTTGCTGTGCTTGTGAAAATGATGTGATCCATATGCGGTGTGTGTTTTCGACGTTTTTATCATAAAACAAAACCATCGTCCACATGTTAAATCTCATATCTTGAAGTTTTTATTTTGCTCTTGTGAAAAGAATGCAACGTTTCTGCGCATTTCTACAGGATATACAATCGTCGTTAAATTTTCTAGTGATTCGCATTGGTTTTAAGCATGAAATTTTATCGTATCGAAGAAGATTGATTCGAATAATTTATCAAATGGTTTGATCATTGCATTCTGCCAGATGAACGAGCTGCACATTTGGCTCAAGACGAACAAACACGATGAAGACGAGACCAGAAAAAAAATCATATTATCGTTGTTGATGTTCCGTTCATTATCTGGATGCGGCAATGTGCATTCGGTGCATTTGATTCGACCGATTTTGATCTCATTTTGTTCCTTCGATTCGACGATTTAATTTCGGTATCATTAAATATGCGCACATTTCCTATCCATCTTCTTTAGATTTAGCCCAACATTAACCGTATTATTTCGGTTGAATATTTCAAAAACAAGAACTGAACGAGAAACAAAGAGAAATAGAAGAAGAGATGGAGAGAGAGAGGGAGATGAAAATCATGTTTTATTCATTGTCACGTTGTATTAAGACACCAAAGGACTCAATTGCAATGTCCATTTTTCTCTTTCTACATCTTTTCCGTTCCCATTCGCTATCGATGCCAATATAAGATTCATTTGTTTCGTGTGTCGGTTTTCAACAGAATAAATTAAAAATGTGCAACGTAGCCGATTGTTGATCGAAATTTGTTATCAAAATCTCGCACTATCCGCTGTAATTCATCACTTTGGCTTAAGTGAATTCACCACTCTCTTCTCTGTCTCGTGCACTCTTGTCTGTTCAATGCAATTCGAAATGCATTCAATATAACGAATAAGGCAGACAAAGAACACATGCATGACAGAAAACATAAATTCTTACACTCCATCTGCTATCTAACAACAAAACCAGCACCTCAAATCGCAAAAAAAGGGGCAAATGCCGTGAACAGAACCGAATGAAAAAAATTGATATTTACACTGAAAAAATGCGGCCGCAATCGTCCAATCGAATATTTAGCAATGTCTGTCGTCAATGTGTTGAGCGCTGCGCCAAAGGCAAATATACCAATTTGACGATAAGCATTTGTGATCCATGTTGGTATGCTCCATCCAAATACTTGCAATTTTATTTTGGCCGGTATCTTACTCAATTTCGCCTGAATGATTTCGGTGGCACAAATCTACAAACAAAAAAAATGAGAAGAAAAAGGTGAAAAAACCGATTAGTTTAGACACGACGAAGAACACGATCGAAATATTGTGGTGTTGTACAACAAGATCAAAACATTTTGATTCGAAGATACACGATCAAGAATGCGATGAACATTTAGAAACAAATGCATTTTTTTTTTTGAAAAGAAAGAAGATAAAAACTCTTTCGATTATGGTGTGCAGACAACTGAATTTGGTCAGAAAAACACTGCGCATCACCTTTAACGATTCATATCACTAAATGGTTTACACTTGATTTATGGATGAAACACTTATATGCGTTTTAACACGTCGTTGGGCTGACGATTCGTATGAAATCTGAACCGATCGATGTTTTAAGAGGAAAATATTAAGCAATTGTTGAACGTTTTGTTGGCAACTAGCATCAAAATATGAACCTACTTAAAATTCAGTTTGTATGAAAATGCGTTCAATTTTAACCTTTTTCAATGGATTCCCTGAAGTTTGAAATTACAAAGAAAACCTTACTGTTCTTAAAATCTTAAAAGATTTTTTGCGCCGAAATTCATTGAAAACTCGATATTTTCTTCTTACTTTTGTGACATTTTAGTTAGTTCGAAAAACTGAATGAATGCAAATCATCAAATTAAAAAAAATGATCATTCAAGTAAAAGAAAATGAATTTCGAAGAGAAACCATTGACACAGCTCGATTAAAGATAAAAAAAATCCTCTTATTAACCTTAATTGCATTTTAATTGAACGCCGCTGTATCGGCGACAAAATGTAAAAACTATTGCAGCACATAATCTTGCATCGAAATAAATCATAATGATAAAAATAATCATTGATTTCTTCAAAACTGATATATTCTAATCAATCGATCAATCATCAATAAATAATGGCACACGCAATGATTATAACACGACAGCCGTGGCCAAACAACGATGCAAATGAAAATAAATCATGATTTATCTGTGGCAGTTAAAACAAACAAGCCCGTCGTTGAAAGGTCTAAGAGCTGAAGAGAGGGAATCGATCAAGAAATATTGTGAAAATCGTTTGGTCAATAGTGGCCGTGGCGGGAAAAAAAATTATTATGTGTAATTGCACTTTGGTGCCTGTTATCTTGTACAGAGAGAAAAAAAAAATAGAAAAAAATGGTATTGGTTTGTTAGTGGAATAATGCGAGCACCGGTTGAACAGCATGTAATTAATTTGCATAGGTAAATAAAGGATTGCGCTTCATGTTGAGCAATGTCAAAAAGATTGACTGTGTGTGTGTGTACGCATCGGGGCAATTCGCTTGTTAGGTTAATAATTTGTAATTTGCGATATAAATAATAATATATTCAAGTTCGTAAATTGCAATGGTGCCATTCAATTCGATAGCAACAACAAGCGAAAGCAACACAAAAACCACAACAACAACAACAACCGATTCAAGTCACGGCGCTGTTTGTTTTATACATTGTAATTTTTGAAATAGCGAGTGCATGGTAATCGTTGTCGCCATCATCTTGAGCATGTCATTTGCAACATATAACCAATTTATTTACCATTTATGCATCGGCAAAAATATTGCAAGCAAATGTTCAAACCACACTCATTTCAAACAAGCTCTTTCTCTTCAATTCTTGTTAACAAGAATATGCGCGAAATAATCGGCATTATTTTTGTTGTTGTTGTTGCAAAGGACTGCACGCGCTATGCGAAGCGATTGGATTCGTAACAACAACGGGGCAGCTTCCATACAGCGGCCAAAACCAAATCAATTCAAACCGATAAAACGACATGTAACCGTCAATTATTGTCAAGATTTTTCTGCGGTTTGTGCAAAAAAAACAGCAATAATCCCATCAGAAGATATCATGTTTCACACACTTGTGCTTCGCAAAACGCTGCTCTTATTCAATAGAGGCGGAAGCATATAAAGCCAGTTATTTGCATTTACTTCACATTTTTATCATTTGCCGGGAGATTCAATTTCACGGCTGAAACAAAAGAAAACGAGCTGAGAATCGCTCAGCTAATGATAATCATTCATTCTCTCTAGCATAGCAACGCAGACAACACTGCTTTATCTTTATCGTTTGCAACAATTTATTGCTAGATTCTAATCGCATTATTAATGCAAATAGTTTGAAGCGATGACCAAGAGGGATAAAGTAACATCGTTGAATTCTCATTTCAATCTTTTTACATATAGATAAATTCGAAACGAAACTGTAAAGATAGCAAGTCCGTTTTGCATCGAAAACACTTTGGCCTTCGACTGGAATATCTTCAATCTAGGTGTGTCCATCCGAAATTGCTCTATAAATTACATAATCATATCAATTACATCTCATAATAATAATATATAGCCGTGTATATGTCCATTTTTTTTTTTGGAAAGGTTCATCGTTTGGGAAAATGAATTCAAAGGATGAACATTTTTGAAACGAAATTAAACCGTTACATTTGGATTTATTTGACAGTTGGAGAAGTGGCAAACACATCGTTTAAAGATAACCTGTCGCTAGCATCGAATGCATATGAAATGTGATATGTTGTGATACCAAAAAAAAACACACCAAAGTAACAACAGCCAATGTTTTGTAATGTGATATGATACGACAAGCCTCATCATCTCGTCTTCATCGACATTCCAACTGTTTCTGCTCAATTTCATTCCGTACGCGTCGAAGCTGCGTGTATCCAGTTTTTTTTGTGATTGTGTGCAAATGTGCAATTTATCATTGTGACGGAATGAAATTGGGCTCAGCTATAGCGACAAAAAAAAACGGCCACAAATTGTCAAAGTGACTTGAGAAAGAATCGGTGTGTATATGTCGTGCAATCGACTTTGCGCACCGCATGCACTATAATCTTAAAGCAATTGCAAACGACATATCGATTTATATAAATCAATTCGGTGTTTTCATTTCGAGGCGTTCAAATTTCACACTCTTAAAGTGGCCAGAGAAACACACCGTTTCGCACATCGGCAAATTTTGCGCCTTCATTACGAGATTGCTGAGAGAAATTGCACCAACTTGTTGTACAAAAATCATAAAATTTAATTTGATCAACACCAAAGTGTAATAAGAGTGTCTTTATTTCGGTTTGGGTTGTGTGTTCAGTTATATTGCCATCGGGAAGAATTACACTCGAAAATGACAGCACGACGGTTGATTTATAGCGGTAATTTTCGTTAACGGCCAATAAATTGACCGATTGCACGCGGCATCGACTAAATAATATGCTCGCCTTTTTTTCTTGTTGCTCTTTTGCAACAGAGACAATTACATGTGGAAAACAAAAAAAAAACACATATTTCGATTGCTTTCCGCCAAAAGAGAAGAAAAAATAGACCGATTAAAAAAAGAGGGATGTAACCGATTGCAATTAGCCGCGGCATTTATTGCCGTGAAATTAGCAATAAATTAAAATATTGAGATAATAAATATAAATTGAATTAACGATAAAAATCGCGAGAGAAAATTAAATTCCGGCACACACACACAAATTCATTGAATCGAAGCGACACATTCACGTCGATTCATCGATGTAGTTTTGTTTTTTTCATTCGCTTCAATTTGCAACTTGAGCAGAACTTACGAGAAACGATCCCGAAAATATTTCTCAGAAAGGATTATCACGTATCCCGCATTTTATACCACGATCGAATCAACACATCGCCGCGAATTCAGTCGACCAATAAATTAAATTTTCATGTGATTTTTTTTTTTCTGTTCGTCATTCGGCTCGTCTTTTTGTTCACTTTAAATCTTCTCAATTTATATTTACGCACAGTGTATGTCTATTGCAATATCAATTTGCGCGTTTGCGACAACCAAAACGCACACCATGCGTGAAATGAAAAGAGCGACTGACGTGCATACAATGAGCGAAAAAAGTAGGTCTACGAACAAATAAAAAAATGCCGAAAAAAATTCACCAAGATCACCGTCCGATCATGCTGCGCACGTGAAATTGGTTTTAACGCTCGCTGCACGAGATGCAACGACAACAACAGACCAACGAAATTGGTTATTAATTTTTCACGTTGCAATATCAATTATTATATTGAAAATGCTGCACGTGATGGCAGAATGGCACTTTTTTCTCTCCACTTTTTCCGGCTATCATTCAAAGGCAATGAAAGCGTAAATCGGCTTTAAGCATTTTAAAACAGTTTTAATTATTATTATCACTTCGTTGCGAACACCATTGGCAAATGAACGTTGGTTTTTTGTCTCTCTTGTTTTTTTTTTGTCTCTGTTGTTGTTTTTCTGTCGACGGCTGAATGTGACACAAAATAAATTCGTCTCTTTATTTCATTTTCTCTGATTTAACAAATAAATATCGTTATTCGCTTGAGTTGTGAGTCTACTTCACGACATACCTCATTCACTTCTTTAACAAACAATGCATTTTCAAGCCGTTCTAATTCTAAACATACTCATATGCAGCAAAACAACCACAAAAAATGCAAATGGAAATTCAATTATGCAAAGTAATAACTTCATTTATGGTCGTGTATCGCATAAATCAAACGACGGACGTGTTCTTTTATTGAATGAAGTCAAATACAAGGATCATTTCTAGTCGCCTCTTTTCCTCCCAAATATTTTGTCAACGCTTTTGTTTTCAATTCACCGGCCATCGACTTTGGCCCACCTTGATAAACCCAACAAAAATATTTATGGTAAAAGTGCGTCTTTGTCATCAAAGATCAAGTCCTTTTTTTGGTTTGTGTTTCGAATAAATTGTGTGGGCAAATTTATGTTGTGCGATTTGTATGTTGATTACAAATCATTATGTTTGGGATTTGGTTTTTCATTTTCTCTTTTTCGATCTTTTTTTGCGATGAATGTTGATTTGTGAACGGGATTTTGTGTTCTTTTTTCTCATCCATTCGACATATGCAAGCTTCGATATGCACATTTATAATACTTATGTGTCGATTTATGACCCCGGCCAACGCATCTCTTTTCCACTTGAAACACAATTTGCTGCATCTTTGTGTGTTGTTCCGCGTTATTTGGTCGTAAATTCTGTGCGAATGTCAGTAACGCAAATAAAATCGCTCGAAAGAAGATTGCCCCTTCTCTATCTTTCTCCAGCGCACACACACATTCATGAGACATTCAATAAATTTTATTATTTTTTATGATCATTTCGTGAATTTGGCATTTGCATGCAAGCTTAATTTGAACCTAATAAAAAGAGGTGGTCGTTTTTGCATAGCCCATTTGGATTAACTATCTGAGAAAGTACCTGTAAAACCGATTAGAAAAACCACAAACGATCTAAAAGTGTCTAACCGCACAATAATATAAAAAAAGAGTTGGTTTTGTGAATCGATTGGAAGCGCCGTAAAAAAAAGTCGATCGGATTGCATTTTATTTGTATCGAAATGGCGAAAAATCAAGGAGCAATCTTAAACAGATTATACAGTCAATTTGTATGCATATAGTTGCAAAAACGTTTATCTCTCATCGGATTAATTGATATATGCATTTGGTGCGGCCGTTGGCAGTGTGTAATGGCAGACGAATCATATGAATGAGAATATTTATTGCATTTCATGATTGAAGTAAAACAAAATCCGTATTATTTATGTGTCTGAATGGTGTTTTCATTCGGGTCGGGTTTTCCATTTGAAAAGCGGAACTACATTCCTAGATTACAATTATTTAGTCGGCATTTTATAGATCGCTTAAACAAAACACAAAACAACCAGCAAAAATAAGAAAGAAACGTTCTTTCAGCGGTAATAGTCGTATTTTATCAATGCGATGCGCATTCTTATATACTCGAAAAAACGAGAGAGAGAGAGCGGGAGAGAGAAAGAAAGACGAAGAGAAAGAGTAAGACCAAAAGCGAGGTCCGTTGTCGAAACAATGCACATGTTCTCTTGTACTGCTCATTTATTATTTTCAATAAGAATTGCAAGCATACAATGCAATTCACTAGCTCATTTGGCAAATGCAAACAAATAAATGACAACAACAACAAAAAAGTACTATGCCATTGATGTTAAATGTATAGAGTGCAGCAAAGTAATGTCTTTTGTTATGTTGTACTCTAGCCAAACTAAAGAGGTTAAAGACATTGTTTTCGATTGGTTTTTGCATAGTTTTTATGTGTGTGTGTGGTTTTTGAGTTAATGGCAGTCACATTGTGCAGTAAAAAAAGCGCATAAAAAAGTATTGACTGAATGTCAAATGGTCTTGTGAACCAGTTTCATCTCTTTTCTTTCTGTTCTGTTCTTTTTTTTCGGCAAACAAAACCAAAAACCAGATAGAAATCCTGACATTATTGCTGTCGCATTGGATCCGCATTACTTCAGCTCGGCCAACACAAGACTATTTATGTATTATTGTTTTGCGATATTATGAACAAAAACAACGACAAACCGAAAAAAACACAGATAACATTGCACTAGCATTCGAAATGGAAAAAATGATGTGCGGTCGGGTGGCTTCATTGACGAGAACTATGATTTACTGTTTGAAAAATCAGTCTCGAAGAGGTATGCTAATGGATCATTTATTTGTATGTTTGTACAAAGTAATATTGCGAAGACTCAGCATGGCGCCATTCACTTCAAATACCATAAAAAAACGAATCGAACAGCAAGAGAAATTTAAAAGAGAGAAAATCGGCATAACATCAAATCACTCGGATCCATATAAATCATAAAAAAAACTGCCCAAAAAAACAACCAATAAAAACAAAGAGCAAAGTTTACATCACAAAACTGCAATTCCAGGCAAATGTTTACAGGTTTATAGTTCTAAAAATGAATGCTTGCCGTGTTGCATGGCACTTTTCTTTCATTGCTATCTAAGTTTGATAAAACAAAAAACACGAAGATAATTTGAGAAAAAAAAGGCAAAAGTTACTTGATAACACTTTGAACAGTTTGAACGGCTGCCATGTACGGAGTGCATAGTGAAAAGCAATTTAAACATTGCATTTGCAGTAGCTTTAGCCACCAGTGGCAATTGTAAATATCAATGCTTACACATATTGGATGGATTGACCAGGTTTTCTTTCAGCTCTGACAACTTTATTAATTGTGTACATGCCATAGGGTTTAACTATTTTGAATAATGATGATCATTGCATTGAACGATCCAGTTTGAGATAAACAACGAAGCAAGAGGGAGCAAAATAGAGCCAAATGAGAATTGAATGAGAGAGTGAAATGAGACACACGCAATGATAACTATCGATAACAAGCGTGCATATATGCATATACGTCTATATGTATAAGTATATATTGGGGCCTGCGTGTGTGATGGATTTTTGCGCACTGACAAAACCGGTCATAATGCAATTCGCAGATCATTAAATTACAATTTACCATAACAAAGTTGTAGCGCATGCATTAGCATAAATACATTTTGGTTTCGAACAAATGTCGCAAATCGATGCAAATGTGCATTTAAAAAAAGAGTTAACAAGAGAAGGAACGGTATAAGGTAAACAGAAAAGAGTTTGTGAGAAAGAGACACTTTCGAATATAAAATCGAACGATAGACAGAGAGAGGGGTAATTTGCACGTGAAATTTTTGCTGGAAATTTTCGTAAAAAATCGCTTCCATCTCATGTTTTACACACAAATGGCGTGCGAGCAATTGTATGATGTTCAACATAACATTGTGTGATTAGCAATTGTTATTTTGTTCATTTTGTATATATGGGCTCTTCTCACTCGTTCAAATATAATATAAAATGTGCGTGCTTCAATACATACGCTCGAGCTATGAGTAATTGTTCCGTAATCAATTCAAAGTGGGTCCTTGAGTGACATCATAAGTTATTTGATAGAGTTTCTCCAGTACACAAACACACACTCGCACCGTTCACCGGTCGGTAGAATGAAAAATGACTTGAAACATTCAAATGTTAAATTGTTTGGATTTGTTGTCTATAGCTACTACTGTGTGTGTGTGTGCCCTTCTCTATCTCTCTATCTATCTCCATGTTACTGTGCAAGTTTATCGTCATGCAAATGATTTTCACTGTTTTTACATAAATATAGTATGTAGAATTTTGTGTTGCCTGAGTGGCGTCTACGCTGCACCTAATGCGAATCACCGATTGAATTTACATTTACGTTTGAATTAGACGCTCGGCTTTTGTGTGATAAGAGCACAGCATGACACACAACAAATTCATTTTTCAGATTATCGAAATAAGCCAAAAGAAAGGCCAATGCCAATCAATTCTTATTTTGCACAAAGTGTGTGGCATGTGTTTATCTTCACTTATTTCACTTTAATGTAATTTTATGATTTTTAGTTGTAGATAATAACCGAAACAAAGTGTACACACACACATACATACATTCTTTGATGGATTTGCGTCAAATTGCTTTCAAGTTGCAAACAACAAGTAACATTCAATTGAATCAACTTAATGCAATTGATTAGAGCGAACGAAAAAAACCGAATCTATTCGGTGCCTTCATCACATCGACAAAAACCATGTAATTATCTAATTAAAATGTTTTGTGTCAATGGTTTGAGAATGTTTGTTTGTGTTTTTCCTTCGGTTTGACGACATAAAGTGCACTCCATTTTCTCCAACGACAAACAAGTGTCGCAATCAAACTATCAAATGACATAGAATTTTTTTGAAAGAACAATAATGAATGCATATGAAGTTATAGAAATGCAAGCACTCAAAACATTCTCAAACAGAATTAAACACAGACACACCAAATTGCGCAATGTGCCATGCAATTGAATGACAATTTTCGATGATAATAAAAAGCCAAAACACAAGACAGCGTCGATGTTGATAAAAACAGGCGTCGATTTTTGGACAAATGCCACAATTGGCTATAACGAATTGTTTTCAATGAATGTTTGTATAGGGTTTCTCATGATAACCAACGAATACAATTTCAATTTATAAAAATTCACTCAAAATGTGTAGAATTCGGTTCAAATCAAATCACCAGACCATTGATCATTTAGATTACAAACACATTAACAGAAAAAAAACACTAGTCATCAGTTAGGATTCTTCGCAGCTGCTTGTTAAAAACCACAAGTGTTTGATAACAAGAGAGTGTCCGAAAAAAAATACGTTCGATAAATGTTATTGGTAGAAAAAAAGGCGTAAAAAGGAACACATACCAATCCGATAGGCAAGATGAGTCCGGTAATGTAGAGCATCCAACTTCGTACGGTTGACTCATGGAATGGATGCTTAAGTGATTCATCGTCACAGAAAAATCCTCGTTTATATGGATTGCCCCATAAGAATAGTGCTAAAATCGGCAGGCCAACTGTAATTAAAACATTAAAAAGAAACAAACACAAACATTTAATAAAAATCACACACAAAACGACCAGTCTGCGTTGGAATATAGAATAATCGAAGAACAAAACAGAGAAAATAAAAATACGTTTTTATTATTGAAAGAAGACAAAATGCGTTAACGACTTAAAATGGATTTATCAAATTATCAAGAGAGACGATCGTCACACAGCGTCGTTAATAAATCGATAAAAATCCACCAACCGAACATCGTCGATGCATACACATAAAAATTAATGACTCGAGAATGTGAATACATGCAGTCGAACAAAGAACATTCCAATAAGGATTACAATTGTAGACACATGAGAAATCAATACGATCAAGCATGTTTCTTACTCTAACACGTGTTGGGAATGGTGAACACACTCTCTTCACTTCAACATTTACTGCAGATGATATCTTGACGATTGCTTCGGTTCGAAAACCAGAGGCAATGAGATCGAACAGATTCTTCACATCACACAATTTTCATATGTCTGTTGATCGGATAAAACAAAAATTATATCTAATTAAGCAACCTAATGAAATTATTCAATTAATTCTCCAGCAGATCAAAATCATCTCTCTTTAACATATTCGAATTAAAAACGAAACGATTTTTTTTTTGTATTTGTTATAAATAGGTATGTCGTTTCTACGTTTGTGTCCAATCATTTTTGCAGCAATTATTAAGTTCTTAAAGTCATAAATAAGTGGATGAACAGGTAGAAATCTGTTAAGCACACACATCTGAAAAAGGTAATTTTTCCTTTTCTGGTTTTCTCTCTGTTTTTTTTTTTTTTTCAAAAAAAAAAATGATCCAAACAAGAATTGAATTCCCTTAACGGATTTTCGTTTTCCTTTCGTTTATTGATTTGTTTTTATACTGATTCGACACAAAATAATAATAATAATAATTCGAATGTGAGAAGAGCACCAATCGAACCAAACCATTTTCGTTGAAATGAGATTTCGTTGAGAAAATCGAAAATTGATGGTAAACCATATTTCGAAGCGAAATATGTAATTTATAATGATTGTACCAGTCTTGTTGAATGGCTTGAAACTTGACGATTGCATTAGTTTGGTTTTTAAAAACATCTTCATCGAGCGAATTTTCACATGAAATCACTTGGAATTCGGCTTTCCTCTCTCTCTCTCTCTCTCTCTCTCTCTCTCTCTCTCTCTCTCTCTCTCTCTCTCTCTGAACAAATTGAAACATTTTAAGCTTCATTATAAAACCGCATTAATTTAATGTTAAGAACTAGAAAGCATTTGTTATATTCTATGCATATATTCAGCCAAAAAAAACAGTGTCACACTCTGTCAAAATTGAATCAATTTTAAATGTGATTTATGACCCCGACGAAAAATCGGAACCGAAATTCATCAAGAGTAAATTCATCACTTCCGAACCAACTGACAACCATTTAACGGTTACACATTTTAACACATTAAAAACAAACGTTCGTTCTTTTTAATATTCGGTTGTAGTCTGCGACTTATGTCATAAAAGTTCAATGTTCCTTCGATTCGATTCACTGAAATCATTACGATTCTGTTTGACAAACGCAAATGACGCAATACAAATTATAACTTTGCCTTTATAGACGAATCAAATATGAAATGTGACACTTATCATGGTCGGTATCTGTGTATTAGACACAGAAAAACTATGGAATTATGTCAGTTGTGTTCGGCGTATATCGAATTTTGATAATCATACAAAAGAAATGCCGACAATTGAAACAACGATAGATTTTCAAATGAATCTCATTTCCAAATTGAACTGGTTCGTTTTTGCATTTAATAAGACACATTGTCATGTCCAATTTAATTTCAAGCAGCAATTCAATTGTTTCCTGTTGAGATCAAATGTGAGGCAATTTCTTTCGAAAAAAATTTGGTGAATTTGAGAAGAAAGAACAAAACTGACAATGTGATTTCAATTTGTTGCACTGGATTTCTGCCATTGTCGCTTGACTCAAAGAAATCGCTTCAAACTTCAATATTTCTCGGCAAATAAAGTATTATTTAAAAAAAAGCTCTTAATGTGCATTTCCTTCGGTTTGTATTCATGTTTAATTCCGCTTCAGTGAAACAATTCCAGCATATGGAGTTACAATCATATTTTTCTAGTTCAAATCATTTTCAAACGAAATCCGACACAAAAAAATGGTCAATATTGCCAAGATTCAAAGCAAAATAACCGATCATAAACCTTTTTTCGTTTTTTTTTTGTCTGTTTACGATATGCACCTGGGTTTTGGTATTTACTGGTCCAGTAAAGTCAAAGGCGAACCTGTCGAAAAAATGACATTTTTCAAAATCGATATCGATTGCATATGGCCTTTGTTATGGTCGTAAATTATCAATCATTTTTTGTTTGTGTATGCATTACAGCCCAACGTCATGGATTTGTTGTTGTGAGAATATTCCGTGTAATTGGTAGACAAAGAATTTCCGTTTGGCATTTGTGTGTGAGATTGTTTATCGTTTTATGCTTTTTTACGGTCGATACCTGTTGCACATTCAGGGCACTATATTGACTATAGTTAATTCAAAGAATGTCTAAGTAAGAACAAAAAAATGAAGTAGGCGATTGAAAATCGCTCGCAATAGAATCATCAAAACCAAACAAGTGACGTATATATTCCACATGGAGTTATTTACAATTCCCACCACATTTTTAGGCTTGTGCAAGCACATTAGTTGATTAAATCGCATAAAGTAAGAAAGAGAGAAACTAAATTTCTAAAGATTGATTGATGAAAAAATCGCAATTGAAAACAAGATGATCGCTGCGAAGATCGTCTGAAGATGAAACATGCTGCGTTCAAAATCCACTAAATAAATGCAATTGGATTCTTGAAACCCTTCTGAGTACATCACATTTCGGAATGTCTAACAAGTCATAAAAAAGTGACTACTTGAGAAAATCGAACTTGAGATGTGAGGTGAAACGAAAGAAGTAGTAAAAAAGTTGTGATTAAGCGAAATGATGAGTATCAAATCAGCTAATGTTCGACTCTCAATACATGGAATTTAACGATGAACAATGCGCATCACTCCGGAATGGTTTTAGTGTCGTTATTAGTAATACGAAAAGGAAACCTCTTTGATATGTCGATGTACGGTTTTTCATTATTGAAACATTTTTCCGGTCGAGTCAATCGTTTTAAATTTAAAAATAAAAATGAAATCATTGACATGAATGGCATTGAAAGTGTTTAGCAGTTTTTCGATCTTCATTTCAGCCTATTACGACACAACGAATATGACTGATTACCAAAATACAAAGGTTGATCTTTGGGCACTGGTTATGACTTTTTGAAAAAAAAATGTTTTTTTTTCTTGCATGTTTTTGTTCGTTAATTCCAACTACCTGACCGAACCCGTGCGTCCCCGATTGTATGCCGAGGGAAGGCATAAATTGGATAATATACGATCGTAACATCAATACAATTGTATATTTGAAATGTGTATTATGCTTGTGGAAATTGTAAATACTTTGCTTAAATCACGATTCGACATATACATATATATCGAACGATGATGAGCGATCAAAACTCAGTGTAGCAAATCGTATTTTCGATTTACTTTGATCATAAAACTCATTTACAGTGGCACACAACAAAGTCCCCGATTCAACTCAAAAACGAAGACGAAGCCGAACAATAAAGGGAAAGAGAATAAAAATAGAAGAAGTAATGAACACCGGGAATGAAGTTATGAACAATGGAATCTTTAACACGTACGATGAACACAAAATCCTTTGCACGGTACATTTTCCCCCTCGTCATTCTTTCCAATCAAATAAAGGGAATTCGTGTGTTTTTTTTTCATCATCATCATCAGTGTTTTCCAGTCAAATAATTTTCTCGGCGATTACAGAAAAGTCACAAATCTTAATATTTTTTTTTTCACTCAAATTCGATGCCCTGCTTTTGTCGAACGACAACAAACAATCGACAATGAATTAAAAGTGCCTGTATAACCTCGAGTATACTGGCTCCGATTCTTGTGCTGTCAATTTTTCTTTGTTTAATGTGCCAGTTTTTTTATTGCAATGCCCATATTAAAGGCAAAAAAAAATAACCTTTAATTTTCTCATTCTCGTTCTATTGTCCTGGCTCAATGCAATGCGAAACGTGGTTTTGTTCGTATGCCAAATTTCAATTTTTCATTCAGAATAGTTTTATGTTTCTTCGTTGGAATATCTCGTTTAATTCGGTCGTCTTCATCATCATTTTTCTTTTCATTTTGGGCCGTTGACGATAAACCGAATGTCGAAAAATTTTTGTGCGTGTGTGCGTGTTTTTTTTTTTTGCTTCTCTGTCAGAGGTCGTGTGAATGCCGAGTAGAAAAAAAATGTTGTATAAAAGGCTCGCTGAATTGAATGGCATACGGAAAATGCGTACGACCCGATTATCTTGATGTGAACGATGGGTGTTGCGCGATCATTTCAATACAATTGTACGATGTGACGTGTGAATTACTACGTGAGGCAAGGAACAAAAGACAACAATCATAAAAACGAGAATGAGAAGAGAGAGAAAGAGAGAGAGAAAATTGCGTCGCAGTGCAATATGCACAATAAGACAGTGCCATATATAGAAATTAAACAATGTAATGTGACAACATATAATAAAATTGAAAACAATTAAACTACGCACCGCAACCAAATTTACAATAGATAGAGCGAGAGAGAGAGAGGAAGAGAAAGAGTGAATCAAAAATCATACGCAACGTATGTGCACAAATAAAACTTGATTTCAATAAAAATCCGTGCTCAATTTGAAAATGTGCTGCATCTGGTGATGACAAATTAAACGGTTTCTTTTTATATATCAATATATGGCCATGGCAGACGGAGTTATTGTTGCCATTTTGGCAGCTTGTTTTACTTTCAATGCATGCATTTTCAAAATAGCCCATTAAAATGCGCTTTTTCAAGCATTTTCGGGTCGACTCGCTAAACACGCC